TACAATGTGTATTAAACCTTATATGAAAAGGCAGGAAAGTCTTTATGAGGGTTTTGAATAAGGTGAGCTTTACAGACAGCTTTGAAGATGGCTTTCTAGCCATAACGGGACAAATTCCTTGTATAGTGTTCTCACGTTATTTTTCTCTTCCCAGAATGCCTAAGTCAAAGGAACTTGTGTCTTCAAGCTCATCTGCCAGTGATTCAGATAGCGAAGTTGACAAAAAGGTGAACATTATATGCAGTTTATTACTACTGTATTAACTCTTCTATTTCAGAGTGGGGTTAAAGAATTAGGCGAGTGTTATGTCGCAACATGCATGCCATTCCATATAACTTATCAGACAAAACACCCAAAACACCCCCCTCTCATACTGCCACCCCCCCCCACCACCACCGACAACAAAACCCACCCTCCCAAGATTAGGTTTTGGGTGGATAGGATGCTTTTTGCCTTGCAGTAAACTTTTTTCCTTAAGTTACGTTTTGCTCTCTTCAGGGTTTTCCATATGATATATCTAACCACAAGCTTCCTGGAATTCTTTGCTTCCTTGTGGCAAGTGATAGAAGGCTTCTGTATAAGCTGCCCCTGGTGGCAAGAATTTGGACTAATTTTGAGGACCACCTCCCCCATTTTGATACCTGGATTACTTGTCCAAACAAAAAACCTCCAGTTGCCTTTGTCCTCCCTTTGCCACTTGGTTATCTTGTTTGCATGTTCTTTTTCTCATTTCAGATTCTTACATTTACTGTAATACCATCTGCCAGTTTCTCACTTAAAAGCTGAGCCAACCTGAATGTCTCTAAGTTGATTAATTTTCACATATATTGACTGTTAATAAATTAAGTGTTCCCATTTATTTTTAAGTTATTTAATTGATAAGTTTCTATAGATGTACTAGTCATTATGAACAAAACCAGAAAAAAAGCAGTGAATTTATCCTAAGAATTGCTACGTGGTTACGCAGATATCAGGTCTTTTAATGTTGTATGTGAAGAGACTCGGTCTGCTTTACTGAATTGGTTCAAATATGACTTGGTTGCACTTTGCAAATTAGGCATTCTGTCAGATCTTAATTTAAGAGAAAATGGTCAGGTGGTTTTTTTGGTAAGGGACTGTATTCTCTAAAAGAGATAGTCTAATAGTATGCTTTAGTGGGCAGTAACGTTTGGGATTTTTTTTTCCATTATAACGTCCCATATTTGTTGGAACTGTTTGTATGTTTAAAAGAGGTTATCCACAATATGATTCTAGCAGGTGAAACAAATTTTTGGTATCTTTTTATTTTTTTTTGGAGGGGG